TGCACCAAAGTTAATTTCTTTTAATTTTATTTTCTACAAACTTTTTGAAGTACCTGTATTTCTTTCTCCCAGTTTCTTTTGAAATCTGGGAAGGGAGAAATTCTGTGACTTTAATCTTGTTATAGACATTGTTTAGCACCGTGACTGGCAGCTCACATGTGCTCAGTGCATGATCAATGAATGAGGACTGATGGAACTCTCCCAGGGTCAGAGAAAAGTGACTGAATTAAGAAAAACATTTGTTCCCATGTTGTAGGAAAAAGACCCAGAACAGAACGTGTGTTCCTCATCAGCAGGAGCCCTTCTGCAGTTCCTGTCTCAGGGCATGAGGGACAAGGAAGACTCCTGGGGCCAGCATCGTGGCCCAGTGGGTTAAGCCCCTGTCTGTGATGCATGCATTCCCCTGACTCCAATTCAGCTTCTTGCTAATAGCCTGGGAAAAGCAGTGGAAGATGGCTCAAGTGCTTGGAACCCTGCCGTGTAGGAGACCCTGTAGGAGTTCCAAGCTCTGGTCTTCACCTTGTGGCCATTTGGGAAGTGAACCAGCAGGTGGAAGATTTCTCTCTCTCTCTTTGCTCCCCACACCCCATTCCTGTAAGTTTTTCAAATAATTTTTTAAAAAGGTCTTTATCTCTTCACTGGAATCCTTTCAGAGTTATTGGCAAGAGGAGAAAACCTCAGCAGATCTAAATCTCTCCTGGGTGTGTTTTCTTAGTGTCAACTTTAAAAGTCTGGTGAAACTGGACACAGGGTTTCTGGCTCAGAATACCCGTTTCACCTCTAATTTCCTAATCTTTTAAGGTTCAAGCCAAGTGCTACCTTTCCAATTGCAAGTTCCAATTTCACTCAGATGCCCTCCTCATACAGCATTGTTCTCATATAGCATTGTTCCTTTCATGATTTTTTCCTTTTTTTACACACATGTCTCTTAAAACTAGATTGTAAAAATCAAGAACTAAGATTGTAAAAATCAAAATCGTATTCCTCCCTTGGTCCATCTTCCACTGCTTTCCCAGGCACATTAACAGGGAACTGGATGGGAAGTGGAGCAGCCTGGTCTTGAACTGGAGTCCTCATGTGATGCTGGTGTCTTAGGCGATAACTTAACCTGCTATGCCACAGTGCCGGCCCCTACGTTTTATTCTTTAAAAACCAAAGCATCATGTGTTTGTCCTGATCATTTGATCATGAACTCATTGAGGGTAGAGAAGATGAGCCATAACACTTTGGTGGCTAGGACAATGCCTGGCTTGTGTCGTACTCAATCAATTGTATGCAAATGTATCAGGACATCATACAGAACATGTATTTTTTCTGATTCCTCTACCTCTCATCCTTGTCATCACCATCTATATATTTTTATGGCACTAATACATAAACAGAGGTAAAAGTATGTGCCTGTCCTGATGGAGATTTTTAAATTTTTTTAAAAAATTGTATTTAAGAAGTGCAAACTTCACTCATTTAATATATTCAAATTTGGGAACATGGTGATCCCCCCCCATCCATACTTCCACACTTCTTTCTCCTTCCTCTCCCTTTCTCATTCTTATTTTTTACAAAGGTCAGTTGAATTTAGTTTTGGAAAGGGATGATTAAAAAATAAAGAAAAACAACAAGCTAAGTGCCAAGATCATGATACAAACTGCAAGTTTTTTTTTTTTTAATATATATTTTTAGAAGTTTGGCTTCCTTGATGGGGGGGAGGCAGGGAGAGAGAGATTCCATCTGCTGGTTCACTCTCCAAGTGCAGGTAACAATTGGGGCTGGGCCAGACTGAAGCCAGCAGCCCAGAACTCAATCTGGGTCTCCCATGTGGACAGCAAGTACTCAAGTATCTGCTGCCTACCAGGGTGTTTGTTAGCAGGAAGCTGGAATCACAAGCAGAGCTGAGACTCAACCCAGACACTCTGGTGTGGTATGGCATCACAAGCAGTAACTGCTGTGCTAAACACTTGTCCCTGTAAACTAAGTTCTTGAGGAAGAACACATTTTGGGCTTGGCAATTAGAAATCGTTTCCTGGGGCTTGGCAGACATACAGGACATAGGCAAAGGGAAGGTAGAGGGGCAGGGGTCACGGTGTTGTGTTCCAAGGCCCACAGCAGGGCTACGCTGCTCCAAAGGCAGCCTGGGTTCAGGTACTGGCTCTGAGCCCATTGGACATTGGGCAAGCAGCAAGGGCTCATGTGTCTTTCAGGAGTGTCTGGAGCATGTCCCTGGAAAATGTCCAGCTCAAGGTGACACAGGATGAAAAATAGGTTGAGGAGATGGGCGAGGTTGAAACAGTTGAAACAGTAGACCAAGCCCACTGATTCGGCCTGATTCCTGTAACTGGTGGTGGGGTGCTCTGCCGCAGAGCTGAACCCTAACCCCACAGTGCTTGAGAATTGCAAGCTACTCCTGGAGCCCTGTGGAGCACAGCCCTCAGGGAAGCTTACGGACTTGTCAGTGCAGAGGTCCAGCAGCAAAAGAAGTGTCTGGTGAGCCCTGTGCTGTGGAAACCATCATGTGGTCCCAGCTTTTGCCAAGAGCTATAAGGCATGGGTGGTCAACAGTATAATTATGGAAGTAAGGAAGATCCTGGTCCTTTCTGCTTTCTATTGGCCCTCCAGGTCTGCTTTCCCAAACGACCTGATGTGTGCGGCTGACTCAGTATCTGATAGCTCTTGCTACTTAAATGCACTTTCAGATTTCAGATCACATGCATTTGATGTGCGCTTAAGAAAAACTATTTTCACTTTAAATAAAGTGATGATAGAGATAGAGAGAAGTCTTCCATTTGTTGGTTCACTCCTCAAATGCCTGCAACAGCCAGGCCAGGACCATGGTGAAGCCAGGAGCCAGAAACTCAATCCAGGTCTCCCATGTGGGGTGGCAGAGACCTAAGTATTTGGGCCATCACCTGCTGCCTCCCAGGGTACATACACATTAGCAGGAAGTGGAGCTGAAACTTGAACCCAGGTACTCCAATATGGGGTGTGGGCATTTCCAGGGGAATCTTAATTGCTGTGCCAAATGCTTGCCCCTGTTGTCATGGTGGTTTCAGAGAAATGGCTGATGATCTCCTAATCTTGAAATTCTCTTACTCTGGAATTTCCCTAATTCTCGTCTTCTAACTTCTTTAAAAAAATTCCATTCCTACATTTTATATTTTGTCTAATCAATATTATTGCAACCTTTAGCTCTGACCTGTGGGGCTGGCATTGTTCTGGGCTGGAGACAATGTTCTTGAAGACTTCTGGCCCAGGAGCCTGTGCCAAGCAGGCAATTCTCTTATTTCCTCTACAATCTCCCATTTTCCTAGCTCCTACTCGTTCCTCTGAGTTTGTCAAAACAGAATGGAGATCAACCAAGAGCACTTCTTTGCTTCATATCACCAGGGTCCTGTTTGTTTCTATATTGATCCTCTTCGCCAGATCCCCTTAATACTGACTGGGAGAGTTTGGAGTGAGGGAAAGAAAATTTGTTTGAAGATTGTAAGCTGAGCTCTGTTCTGGTTTATAAGCCTTGAATCAGCTTTGGATGAAGCTGACTGTTGGAGTTGTTAATGGATATTTCACAGCCCTTGAATATGCCATTAGCCAGCTGTATGCTGTGACAGGTTACTTCACCTCTGTGTGGGTCACCTAGCTTGTCCTGCCTGGGTCACGGTAAAGACTTTTTTTTTTTAAGATTTATTCATTTATATGAAATTCAGAGTTACACAGAGAGAGGAGAGGCAGGGAGAGAGAAAAGTCTTCTGTCCGATGGTTCACTCCCCAGATGGCTGCAACGGCCGGAGCTGTGCTGACCTGAAGCCAGGAGCCAGGAGTTTCTTCTGGGTCTCCCATGCGGGTGCAGGAGCCCAAGGACTTGGGCCATCTTCTTTCCCAGGCCATAGCAGAGAGCTGGATCAGAAATGGAGCAGCCGGGACTAGAACTGGTGCCCATATGGGATGCCGGCGCTTCAGGCCAGGGCGTCAACCTGCTGCGCCACAGCGCCGGCCCCACGGTAAAGACGTTCATCTTGCTACTTTGCAGAGTTTCTTCATGCTTGCTGCTTCTTTTCATCCTTTTACATTTTTTCAAGGTAGACCTACTTCCCATGGAAATTTCCCCCTTTGCTTTCTTCCTTTCCTTCCAGTGCTGGTTTATGCAGCCAGATTTCTAATCTTCCTTTCATGTTCACCCTTCCATCCTCTAACTATTTTGTTAATTCAGAGAAAGAAGTTTTAAAACCTAACCCAAAAGAGAGAAAATGATGTTGGTAGCACCCGTGTGTTTCCAGCACATGACTTGCTGCTACAGAACGTGTTTTGTATTTGGATTTCTTTTTCTTCAAGTTCCATTTTTTTTTTTTTAATTTCTTCTGAGTGTTTCAATTACAGGTCCTGGTAATAATGATCTTGTATTGGTCTCTGATGTTTTGTACTTTCTTGAATTTGTAAACTAATCATCTCTGCTCAATTTCTAGCAGGTGCTCAATACATTTAAAAAACTATCATGGCCATATTTAGTGTGATTCTAAGTTATTTTCTATTTTTTTAAAATTTATTTATTGATTTATTTGAAAGGTAAAGTTACAGACAGGGAGAGACAGAGAGAAGGATCCTCAATCTGCTGGCTCACTCCCCAAATGGCCACAAAAGCTGGAACTGGGCCTCACCGAAGCCAGGAGCTTCTTCTGGGTCTCCCATGCAGGTGAACCGGTGGCCATATGGGATATCTGCACCGCAGGTGGAGGCTTAGCCCACTACACCACAGCGCCGGCCCCTCCAAGTTACTTTCAATGTATTGTGCTCCTCCTTCTACCTTGCTTAGAAATCTCTGACTTGGCTTCTTCTGTGCAATAACTCCTACCAATTCAGCTCCCAGTGACCATCCCAATAGAATTCAGTGGGTCAGATACCAGTTCTCCTCCTATCATATGGAGATTGCAAAGTGGGGAAAGTCCAGGGCCTGGTTTTTGCCTTAGCTGAGAACCACTGACCTCTGTGTACTTCTCTGTTTTGTTTCTCAGTCTGCTTCCAGTGCAGACAGAAGACTTCCCAGCACCAGAAAGGCAAGCTGTACTGTCCCATGCCTTCTGCCTCAAGGGAGCCTGGTGCCAAGCCAAGGTAACACAGTTACTTTCTGGGCTCTCATGGGCTCTGCTTTCTTGTTGTTTCCTCTGCTCCAGCATGACCAGCTTATTATCACAGCTTATCCCTTTCGGTAATACTTGCTGATTATTGCCTAGGTATTTGAATCAGGTGCATAGGAAATCATGGAGACAGCCCTCTTTCCTGGTTGATGCCTTTCTCACTCGCCTGATCCTTGAGGAGGTTTCCATGAATTCCATGCCATATTAGTGTGAGTGGTCTTTTTGATCTGTTTCTCACAACTTTAATAATTTCAATCATAAAAGAAATTTTTTGGGGCATCTGCACTGTGTAAGACACAGACTGATTAAACAAAGTCTGCCAGGATCATATTGGTGAGTTATAGAGAAAAGGTCTTGGAAGAATAGGGAAAACTTAGGAAATACTATTTTTTGATCTGCCATTCAAGATGCTGTCAACCTAGAGGAGGTGATGAGCAGTTTTTTTTTTCCTTCCCAAAGAAGTGCAAACTCAAGCTGTTTGAGGGCTACGAAGAATAAAAACAGCAATAAATATTTTTGCATCTTTTCCCCTGTAGATTAGCATATCACTTCTGGAAGAAAGTATATCTTGCTTCTTTTTCTTCCAAGAGGAAAATGAGCTTAAGGTTATAGCACCTGGCAAAACCACGAAGGAGCCCAAGTCCTGACTGCTTAGCTAGTGAGAGTCCCTGACCTCTGCCCTTGGACAGGTGAGCTGAGAGGCAGGCCAGCCAGTGTAAATAGAGATAAAGCTGTTGTGGGAATGACTAAGGACTCTTAGATTATAGAGATAAAGAGAAAATGGATCCTAATATACATTCTTCTTTAACTTACCTGGATACCTCACTTGGCTCTCCATTGCTCTTAATAACTATATTCTAATGAATGATAGTTTCTCTGAGTGACATGGCAAAGTGAGAGTGTGCACAAGAAAGACACAAAGTGTTCTATTGGAATGATTATTCCAACAGTATCTTTTTCTTTTTATAAATTAATTAATTAATTATTTTTGACAGGCAGAGTGGACAGTGAGAGAGAGAGAGAGAGAGAAAGGTCTTCCTTTGCCGTTGGTTCACCCTCCAATGGCCGCTGTGGCCAGCGCACCACGCTGATCTGAAGCCAGGAGCCAGGTGCTTCTCCTGGTCTCCCATGCGGGTGCAGGGCCCCAAGGACTTGGGCCATCCTCCACTGCCCTCCTGGGCCACAGCAGAGAGCTGAACTGGAAGAAGAGCAACCGGGACAGAATCCGGCACCCTGACTGGAACTAGAACCCGGGGTGCTGGCGCCACAGGCGGAGGATTAGCCTATTGAGCCACGGTGCCGGCCAACAGTATCTTTTTCTAATATCACTTGGTTGGGTCTGTGGAAAGAAGACCATAAGAATGGTTTTATGGGAATGACTCAGTCTATGTTTGTGCTACTGAAATTCAAAACAGCTCAGTTATTGGTACATTTTCCCCAAGGAATTCTCTTTTCTCAACAAAGTATATTAGATGGGAAAATTAGCAGAGAACAGGTATCTATGTTATAAAGTATAAGAAGTAGGCGTCTCTGTCACAAAAGAAATGTGGTGAAGACTGTGTTGTCCACCAGCAACAGGTAACTAGAAAAATTAAAATAATTGAAAGCAAACAAAATTAAGAACTCAAGGGCTTACCAACTACTCATGACTAGAGACTGGTGTCTATCGTATCAGGCAGTGCAGAGACAGAACATGTCCATCACTGTAGAGATGACTGAGAATTGTAGGTGTGCTGTCCTCTCTCTTCCTGGGATCAGGCAGGCGGGAAAGATGGCGCCGGCACACCGGGTTCTAGTCCCGGTCGGGGCGCCGGATTCTGTCCCGGTTGCCCCTCTTCCAGGCCAGCTCTCTGCTGTGGCCAGGGAGTGCAGTGGAGGATGGCCCAAGTGCTTGGGCCCTGCACCCCATGGGAGACCAGGATAAGTACCTGGCTCCTGCCATCGGATCAGCGCAGTGCGCCGGCCGCGGTGGCCATTGGAGGGTGAACCAACGGCAAAGGAAGACCTTTCTCTCTGTCTCTCTCTCTCACTGTCCACTCTGCCTGTAAAAAATGAAAATAATAAAAAAAAGATATTTATGGCAGACATTGCTTTGGCTGCTGAAATATTCAGTATCTTTTGCTTTCGTTTGCTCTGTGCCTTTTATTTAGTGTCTTCTACATGGAATGATGTCTATGGACTAGGAAATAGCGGTGGAGAATTCAGAGACATTTTGGAACATGATTTCAGTTGGGAATTTATCGAGAGTTCAATTGAACCATTTGATGAAAACCCCAAAAAAGAACCCATTGTGGAATCTAAACAGAAAAAGCCATCAGGAGAAAATCCCCAGGTTAATGCAGTGAGGACTCTGGCTGGGCAGGCCATCCTGGCTGTCAACAGCAGTGGGACCGGAGCAGCCTACTTAGGAATTTGGTCGATAAGGAGAACACAACAAGATAGTGGCAAGTAAATTTTTCTTTCGATTGCCATCTGAGGAGTCTAGGACTTTCCCTGTAATTTTAGAGTGATTTTTTTAGTCTCCCTTTATGGTCTTTACTGGGATTACAACACCTTGGGGCTCTAACTCTGCTGACACTGGGTTCCATATCAAGGCTCTTCCTGATTATGGGGCAGCTGGAGAATTTGATCTTTATCCTGCCTTTTACTGTAGTCCCACAGTCTGGGAAGGGCTACAAGGCCAGCATCACGTATACCAAGCTATAGGGTGACTGGGACTTCTTGAGGGAGGTATGTGGTCTGCAGGCTCTGCTATCTGATTTTATTCTCCTGGGGCACTCTACATTCATCTGGGATCCTAATGCCTTCATGGACAAATAAGTCTTATGATCACGTTAATATTTATTACATGAATGCTTTGCCCCATCATATTTCTCCCTGCTCTTTGTCAAGCTATGAGAATTTATTATATTCCTGACTTCTGTCTAAGCATTGGGGAAATGCTGAGGAGTTGGATTGATCTTCTCCAGGTATCTCCACTCTACCTTCACAAGACTTTCTTCTACATGCTTTGGTGGCGGAATACTTCTGGGATGCTATGGCTGGATTTTCACTCGGTAAAACTCTCTTTAATGGTTCTGGCTGTTTTGTCGGTCTTCTAGTGTGCTCTATCTTGGAATATGTATTATTCAGAAATGTCTGGCCTTGTGATGAAATTAGCCAATTCTATTATTAAACCTGGAAGTTTATTTTACTTTGTCTGCAATAACTCTGAAATACTAGACTTTCTAGTTTTTTCTATTCCTTTCCTCTCCTTTTACACATAGAGGACACTGGGAAATCAGTCACTGAAAATATTAAAGTACTTCAAAAACTTCATGGGGTGGTTGGCACTGTGGTGTAGTAGGTTAAGCCTCTGCCTGCAGCACTAGCATCCCAAATGGGTATTGGTTCGAGTCCCAGCTGCTGCTCTTCTTACCTAGCTCTCTGATATGGCCTGGGAAGGCAGTAGAAGATGGCCCAAGTGCTTGGGCCCCGCCTCCATGTAGGAGACCTGGAAGAAGCTCCTGGCTCCTGGCTTCAGACTGGCCTAGCTCTGGCTGTTGCAGCCATTTGGGTAGTCAACTAGCTGATGGAAGACCTTTCTGTCTCCTCTCTCTGTCTGTAACTCTACCTCTCAAATAAATAAATAAATCTTTAAAAATAAGTTCATGGAAAAATGGAATTAAAAGGTAAGTTTGGAGTGGCCATTTGGTACAGTGGTTAATATATACTTGGAGTCCCCACATCTCATATTTGAATGCCAGGGTTCAAGTTCCACCTCTTCTGTTTCCATGTTCATTTCCTGCTAATGCTCACTTTGAGAGACAGCAGTGATGACTCAAGTGCATGAGTCCTTTCTATCCATGTTGGGGACCCAGTCCAAAATCTCAACTCATGACTTGGGCCTGACCCAGCCCTGGCTATTGCAGACATTTAGGGACTGAACCAGCAGATGAAAGATCTGTTTTCCTCTCTGCCCCTGTCGCTGTCTCTGTCTCTCTGCCTTTCAAATAAAAAATAAATAACAATGATGCTTATTTTGGTGTAAAAAACATGAAATCCATGTGTACTTTTTCCATAATATTTATTTCTACGAACTTTTTTGAAAACTCTTGTATGAATGGATTTCAACATTTTTTACACCTAAGTAAACTTATATTTTAGTTCTATTTTCCATGAATTTTTTGAAGTACCCTCATAGAGAGGGAGGGTTACACATTCTTCAACTTACCCCATCACTGTAATGACCATTGTTTTTTTCTGTAGCTCATGCCTGAAACTGTAACTAATAAAGATTCCAAGTCATCTGAGATTGTGTCTGAGAACCTAGGGAAGATAACAAACTGAGCCCACATTTCTTGGATACCTGTTGCCTCAGGGTTGATCTGAATCTAGTTCCTGTTCTACGTTTAAATGTAGAGAACAGGAATTCACTGCCAATGTCTTTGATACTTCAAAGAAAACCAAAGTGCTCTTCTACAGAAATCAATGTTCTGTTGGGAGGAAAATATCAGATTTAGAGTCAAATTTTAGCTTCAACTCTTCTCTGAGTACCTAGTAAATGACAACAGTGATTATAGCATCAGTTATTCATTGAATACTTAGCTTACTAAGTACTCAGTACTTACTAAGTAAAGGGACTCTCCTAATCTTTACCACAGCCTTTTGAGATGAGTATTATTATTTTCATATTATATATAGGAAAAATGTGGCATAGAGATGTTAAGAGAGTTGCTAAAAAGCAGTGTTGGGATTGGAACTCAGACAATATTATCTAGGGGCAGGTACTGTGGCACAGTAGCTTTAAGCTTCTGCCTGCCATACGGGCATCCCATATGGGCACTGGTTCAAATCCTGACTTCTCCAATTCTAATCCAGCTTCTGGCTAAGAAAGCAGCAGATGATGACCTAGTCCTTGGGCCCCTGCACCAAATAGGAGACCCTGATGGAGTTCCAGGCTCCTGGCTTCAGCCTGGCCCAGCCCTGGTTGTTGCCACTATTTGGGTAGTGAACCAGCAGACAGGAAATTCTCTCTCTCTCTCTCAGACTCTGCCTTTCTAATATGAAAAAAATATTAAAAATAAAATAAAATATTATCCAATCTTTCTGAATTTCTTTTTCTCAGTAAAATGAAAGTTTGGGGCTTATTTTTAAGCTTATTCTATTTGAACGATCTTAAGTTTATTTGTAAGTTGATGCTCTTCATGTTTATTTCCATTCTAAGACCCTGTTACAAAGTCTGTTATTTCAGAGATAGGGATGTTAGGATGCTTTGCTTTCATGTAGAAGGTTAGGAACCCTGGGTAACTGCTTTTATCAGTACTACAGAAACCTTTCTTTCCTTCCTCCCATTTTTCTTGGTTTTTGCTTTTGGAGTTGGAAGGTGATATCAATTGAAACAAGGGTGGCACTATCTGCTTCTTACAGGAAAGCCTGAATCAGCCCATTTTTATCACCTTTAAAGAATGAATATCTGGGGGCTGGCACTGTGGCACAGCAGCGCAGAGGTTAAAGCTCCGGTCTGCAGCACCAGCATACCATACGGGCTCCAGTCCAAGTCCCAGCTGCTCCACTTCTGATCCAGCTCCCTGTTAATGCACCTGGGAAAACAGTGGGGAATGGCCCAAGCCCTTGGGACCCTTCACTCCTGTAAGGAGACTCAGAAGAAGCTCCTGGCTCCTGGCTTTGGATCTGCTCAGCTTTGGCCATTGTGGGCATTTGGGGAGTGAACCAGCAGATGGAAGACTTCTCTCTCTCTACCTCTCTCTGTAACTCTGTCTTTCAAAGAAAGAGAGAAATAAAGAAATGAAGAAAGAAAGAAAAAGAAAGGAGGAAAGAAAGAAAGAAGGAAAGAAAAAAGAATGAATATCAGTCTCTGAAAGATATTCAATAAGATTTGGATAATGGCTACCCTACATGGCTGTTGTGAGGCTTAAATAAGGTAACGGTTGGGAACTATTCTGTAACTTAGGTTCTGTATAAAGGCAAAGACATATTGGCATTGTCCAATAACTCTGATTCACAACTAAGAAACTGGAGAAACTAGTTTTCTTATTAGATTGCAAATTGCACTTTAGGAAGCCTGCACAGATGTTGTGCTTGCTTTGGTCCATGCCTGTGCTAATTAAGGTGCAAGATACCCTCAGCTTTATTCTCACTCTGCTGGAGGTAAGACACAGGCACCTTCACGAAGAGCCCTCCAGTAAGCTTGCTCACTACCCAGAGTTCTCAGGCACCCATGCTCCAATGTTTTCTATTAAATTTCTCTAACTGGTTAAAAATAAAAATTTTTTAGGAAGCACAAAATTTCTTATAATTACATCTCAAATGCTGCTTGTTTTGTGATTTTGAATTGTGCTCATTCCCAGACTTTTCATTCCCATCCTCATCACTCATTTCTTCAGTTTATTGACTTTATTATTCAATATTTGTTGAATTGAATTCCCACTATTTGAAGACTATGACTGGAGATGGAGTTAAAGGGATTGCCTTCCCTTGGAGAGACCTGTATCCTACAAGAGGAATGAGCGCTGAGCAGCCTAACAGTGAACAGGCTGCAGCTTGTTGTCCCCATTGCTGCCCTTCACTCCATCAGGAGCCTCCTAAGGGAAACAGGGGCCCTGAGGAAGACCATGCGGGGGTTAGGTCCTGTTCTTCCCAAGGATAGAAGAGTATCACACATCAGCCCTGCTCTGTCACTAGACCAGGAAGGTAAGAAGCTCATCACAGAAGTCAGGTTTAACAAAACCCATGGGATTACCAGAGGTTAAGTAGTGTAGATGTGCAGTTGGTGTTTGTTGTGTGGATAAACCAACAGTAACTGAGACTGGGTCAGCAATCTGGTTTTATACAGCCGTGGGTGATGGAGAGGTGATGTTGGTGGAGGAACTGTGAGCAGCCCAACTTCGAGAAAGATCAGGGAAATTCTTACGGATGGGGGAGAGAGGGGCCAAGATTTTGATGACTGAGAAGTTTTGGAAAGTTTGGAAATTTTCTATAACCCTTGGGCACACTGGGATTTGCACTCTGAAGCTATGTTGGGAATTGGAGGGACAGCACTGCAAGTTTCCTTTGTCATTGATTTATTTGTCCTTGAGACACTGCTCAAGCAAAGGCACCAAGCAAAGACATCTTACAGAATCACAAAGCTCTGGAAGGCAAAACAAAAAATAACACCCCCCCCCCCCAAAAAAAAAATCTGCCTTTCAGTCTCCTGGAAATTCCCATGATTATGCAATTAGTGGATTCTTGCTGTTGTTCTTAAAGACCACTTTTGTGGCTTAAATGTCAAATATTAATTATATGTCCTAAAGGAGCGAAGGCTGAACTTAACATGCTTGCTGTAAGACTCCCTAGCTAACAATACAGAAGGAAGATGAACCCAGTGTTCACTATGACAGGGAGGGCCTGCGTTTCATGGAAGCAAAGAGTGGAATAAATGGAGAATGTGTTAATCTAAGCTGCTTAAAAGAATTTTCCTTTTGCTGTCTGCCACTGTCAGTGTAAAACAAACTATCAGCAGGTGCTTGCCTGTATTTCTCTCTAAATGATGGTGAAAATAATGCCAATCTTGAGACATTTGTTGCTTCAGACAGAATATACTGGGAATTGGACGCCTCCTTGTATTTCCAGAGAAACCTTATCCTAAATAGAATCAAAACACTCCCCCGAAGTCATTGTCCATTAGGTCTGGAATGTGAGATGAAAGAATTCTAGAGGCCCTGGTTCTACCTCCCCAGGTTATGACCTTGTGCAAGTCATTTACTACCTTGGATTCCCATTTGCCTTATTTGGCACTTACTAGTTAACTATTTGTGGAAGCAATAATGCTCTGGGAGCTCACTTATAAAATGAGATTAATATGTGCATTGGGGTAGGCAATGTGGCTCCGTGGCTAAGCTGCAGCTTGGGATGACCATATGTCATATATGAGAGTTCAGAATTGATTTTTGCCTCCGTTTCCAATTTAGCTTCATGCTAAGGTGCTTGGGAGGCAGTAGGCTCAAGTACTAGAGTTCCTGCCATGTATGTGGGAGACCTGGATGGACTTCCTACCTCTTGGCTTTGCCTTGAACCAACGCAGGCTATTGGGGACATATGAGAAGTGAACCCACAGATGGAAGATCAATCTTGTTCTCTCTCTCTCTTTCACTCT